CTGATAGTACACAAGACATCTCTAGACAATGACGGACGATACATTCTCCTTCGTTGTGCCCTCTTATATATGGAAGTGGAGTGTATTCTGGTGGGACGGTCGAAGGGATGTGCAGAGGATTTGTGATATGATGGAGAGTGATGTGGTAAAAAAAAAAACAGGAGGTCGAGTGAAACTAACACCGCAACGCCGTTATTGTTTCATTTGTTTTATGAACATTTTGACAATCATTAATAATCTTATCATCACTATCTCTGCATTGAAACACTAAATCCGTAACGATTTTAGATATGTCGGTCGGATTTTGGAAATGAGAAGAATTCACTGGAAAGAATGATGATGTTCGGCAAAAAAATTCGATGTTAAATTTATGACAAAGTGAAAGCAAATGAGTTGGTGTTCTCATTCTGTTCTTCATTTCTCTCACATTTGGACAATAAGGTAAATCAGAAAGCGAATGATGTGATAAAAAACGAGTTTAACTGAATTCATTTCCCAATTCGAAAATTGAAAATTAAATTTTATTTGCGCCAACCATTGAAACAAGGACGCTCCAAAAACAATAACGTTCATTCGCTTATCACTACATTATTGAAATTCTTTTCATTATCACTTATCCTGTCATCGTCAAATAGCCACAGCAAATCAGTTCAAAAGTGATTCAGTAAATTTGCTCGGTTATAAAAGAAGTCATGTTTTCGAATTTGTTTTGTCTGAATATGAAATGCTACAGTTAAGCCTAAGTCAATGAGACACACCGAGTATTTTTGTTGATCACACTGAAGGATTGTGTCTCTCAAGGAACTCATTCTGAAATGCAAATGATTTTCGAAGATTGCACTGGAAGCGCAAACTTACTCCTATTTATCATTGCTCCATTGCGTAACAAAATACAGTAAAATACATGATCAAGAGCTGTTATCGGTGAAAATACAAAATATACGCTGACTGAAAATAAAGGCCATCTTGGATTAATGATGGCATCGGAACGAAATTTCATGTCGGCCGGAATCCACGTTTCAACACTCCGACAGTCCCAATTCCGACTGACCTTTCAAATTGTTCGGTCGGAACACGAATATCAGAATTTCGACCGAAATTGTAGGATTTTTCCGACCGACTGCCTATCGGATGCCATCACTATCTTGAATATAAGAAAAATGTGCAATGAGCTAAAGTGCGGATGCCAAAAACGTGGATCACTATCTATATTGTTCTAAAATAGTTTTGAACCTCACGGAAAAGACATGTTTTCAAATGCATTTAGTTAGTTTCAATTTTTAGCTAACTTCCTACAATAATTAGGAGCAAAAATTTGCCTTCTAATATGTTCAGTAGATATTCGATATCATTCTAATCCTAAAACAAAAAGTTGTGATTAATGTTTGCATAAGATCTCGGTAATACCGAATACTGATATTAGAAAAGCGATACCGATCTCAGGATTCGTGCCGTCGATATTCACGGTATTTCCAGGATTCATACCACAAGTCATTTTAAGTGAATTTAGTAGTATATCCATTACGACTGGAGTATGAATCATACCCATTTTTGTTTTCTGTTGTATTTTTTGTTGAATTTCTTAAGCTCAAGTGAGTGATTAATTAAATAAATTGTTTTCTGAATAATTATGAACACATGGGCTCATGAAGAATCTGTTGAACAAGTCACATTTCTATGTTTCAAAAGCTGCTTTTCAATACCGGTATTAATACCGATCTCGGTACTGAGAAAATGGTCGATATTTTGCAAACATTAGTTGTGATCAGTGTGCACTGCTACTCCCATTGCTCACGAGATAACGATAAAACATGCTGCAGATGGTGAGGCAAGCTTCGATGGCACTACCACTCTTTCGATGATATGACCAGTGTCATAAAACCAAAGAAATACCAAAATTAACGTGAAATGAACAGCTTTTTGATGAAATCTTATAGTAGCACACCATAATACGACCACACAAGTTGAATGCTCTTTTCGTTCGCTGAATAGTTTTTGATTGAATTGCCGAATCGAAGATGGCATGCTTTATATCAGCAAGGTTGTCAACCGCACCTTATTATCAGTATTCTACGTCATCGATTCGTGCTAATCACCAGTCTAAACTCAAACATGAGCATAATTCGAGGTTTTGATGCTAGCAGCTCTACGGAGGCTGTATTGGCCTCTGCTGCAGCTAATGTAATAGCGTGCTTCGCAGATCACCTTAGCAGAATCGTATCGAAGAACTTTCAAATATCGCTTACATTTGCTAATAGACCACTACGTAGGGATGCTCCAATCTGATTTGGTTGGCTCTAAATCAAGATATGTTTTGGTTTGAGAAAAACAGTGAGAAAGATTCAGGTGTCTTAAAAAGATTGAGGAAACGAATGATCAACTGAATGACATGCATGGAATGTTTTTTCAAGGATGCTATTGAATGGCTTTGTTTCCACTATTGTGGTAGTCGCTAGGCCGTATTCTGAACCAATTTCATATAATTGATAAAATACAGGATGAGCGTGTTTTTACATTAAATTTATTGGTGAGAGTTGATGAGGAACTGCCTCAACACTGTCATCTTAATGATATACAATGGCCATTATTTCAGTGATCAAAATTATCGTCGTTTTCTGAAAACTCTTCAAACTGACTAGGTCGCCGAATGTAGAAGGAAATCGAGGCAGATCCTAAGATTATGAGATTTATCATTATCAATATATTTAATCAGTGCTCTTTTAAAAATAAAATCCTGCTCAGTGCATTGAAAAAATTTTTTTAACAATTTAAATTTAAAAAATGTCGCGACTAACGTCGCGAGAAAAAACAAATAATGAATGAAATAATTAATTATGGATAATATTCGTTTGATTCATAAAATTGTATTGTTTATTCTAAATTTCACGAGTATTGTATGTTGTACATAATATTCAATTGATCTGAAAATGATAATTTATGATTCACCATAATGTTGTAGTACTATTTTAAAATTGATCACATCATTGTATTTTGTGGTGTAATATGACATATTTCTATTTTAACCATTTATCAAATGTTATCCTTATGATGATATCATTCTAATTTGTATTTATTCCATTTTCGTAAATAAAGTAATCGGATAGGAAAAGTATGCCATCTGAAAAGTATGAAAAGTATACCTTTCGTGCATAAATAATTTATGCACGAAAGGTTCATACGGGCTCCAGACGCACGGAAAGGCCCGATTTCAATCTTCCGATTACCGTAATCATCGAACGTAAGTATTAATTGTACAGTTCGTTTATTGTATGTTCATGAAAATGTAAAATCCGCGTCATCATGAAGCTAAAGGCGCCATGTTATCGCATATGTAATCATATTAACCTTCACACACCCATAATCTTTTTATATAAATGATCGGATCTTATTAGTCATCTTCATTTATTTTCCAAAATATTATAACTGTATTTACCATTTATCCTTCTACATTCGGACAGTCTTCAAATTATTATTTATTATTGTCATCGTTAACTCATGATTATTTCGCTATTTCAACATCAAATTCCCTTCTTCCCTTTTCCACTCCTCTTCCTCCCCTGCTTTTGCCATAAGAAAGAGTTGATGTGTGGGTAATATGCGGTGGATCGAGCTGCGCAGTAGTATAAAAATATAGTTTATTGAATATTATCAATTAGTCAGTTACAATTGAGATACCACGGAAGTTGCCAGTTATTGGCCCTTTGAATGAGGAGACGGTGGACGAGAATTTCAATATAGATTTTCAATAACAATTCAGTTAGCCAAGGAGAATGCCAAGTAGTAGCTATTACACAGTTTCTCTACGAATATTCTTGATTAATTAACAACGAAGTTATTCACAATTATTTCTTTATCAACCCAAGGATAGGGCCAAATATTGGCTCTTTGATTAACTCAAATATTATTATTTCAATAATACGAATATCGCTATTTCAACACAAATATCAGCGAGGCGCAACCAAACGGACTTCAATACGATTGATACAATAACTCGTCTCC